TTTCGAAGTAATTTTATTTTAGCTTAAGTTGTATAAATACTGATGATTTCTCTTGTCTTCCATACTTCTTATACTTTATGTATTGTATTGTTTAAGTTTTTTTTTGTTGATTATAATTTAATTATGACTTATTTTTCAGGCTACATCCATTGACGCCGCACTCGATGTTGGTGCAAGATGTGTCAAGAAACTTTAAATCTTTTAAGGACCCTGCTGTATCGATGGATCCGATCATCGACCTTGGACTCAGATCGCGACCTATTCAACTTCCGCTTGATGGGTAAGTTTCTATATTTGATTTCATTACTTAAATATCTACAATTGGCCAATATTTAAATCTAAGAGTGAATAATGAATATGTTTGACAAATTAAATACACTTTCAGTATAGCAAACAATTAATCATAAATTGTGCCATAGAAAGGGTTTATGTAAATACTATAATAAACTCTTGATAGTTTTAAAATTATATTGAAATATTTCAAGCTAATGACCGTAATCCCTTTGCCAAAGGACAAGAGCTCATGGAAGGCCAAATATAAAAAAAGTAATTCACTTTAAACACTACACGTACGAACGCGACCCCGTAATTAAGTTTGCCTTCACAATGCAAATTCCTCAACAGCTCCAAACAGCTCGCTAGCCAACCAACAACCGAACCCACTTGCCGTCACCCAAAGAACTGGGAAACTTACCCGTCCGTTGACCCAAATCATGCGCCGCCCACTGGTGGTGCCGTGTTCCAGCTCGATGCGGTACATCTAAGCAAAAAAAAAAAAGAAAAACAACAAGCAAGGGGGACAATTATCGCAATTTTCCATCAATTTTAGTTGCGGTTTCGGAAAACACTCCATCATCGAGGGTTGCCACAGAAACTCAGGACGATTTGCAACCATTTTGGAACAGTGTCCTTAAGTGTGATATTTCTTAAATTATAGCATACTTTTGAGCACCATTTGAATTGTTTTTATAACCCTTGTAAAGTTCACCTTGCCATTGATGGGCACACACCACTGAGCCACTATGTTCTGCTTATTATAACGCTGGTCCTCGGGCACATGATCCTGCGTCATGATGGGCTGCGTGGACAGATTCTCCAGGCGCAGCGTGGGCGAGAGAAAGGACATGTGTCTGGCTGGACACTGGACACTCGCCCACCACCAGTCGATCCGCCGGCAAGCAATCAATAATTCCTATTAATATTAATGGTAATCACATTTAAAGTGCAAACACTTCTCGAACACCCTTACACAATCCCTTTGAGAGAAGTTCAAGGACCTCGTTGTTTTTCGAAAAGGCAACTTGTGCAATCCGCAGATCTAGTTGGAATAATCCTTCCGCCTTACTTTCGGGGCTAGACTTTACTCCGTTCCGTGTGGCAGCGGCGACAAAACCGCAAGAGCGAACCGCACGTTGTTAGCGCCAATGGCACACTAAACAACACAAGCCCGTACAGTAAAAGCCAAAGGAGGAACTGAAGAAAAACTAGTTGGCCTGCCTTCTGCTTTGGCTTTTGGCCTGGCTATATAGCTCTGCTTCTGGCCGAGTCGCGGTCGCGTTTGTCGGTCTGCCAAAGGCAAGCCAAAGTGCAGAGCAACTACGCCGCATGGCGCCAAAACAGAGTTGATTTGTTTCCACTAGCCGTGCGTGTGTGCTCCGGGTATGAGTGTGTGAACAGGGGGAACTCCCTAGGGTGGACTCTAAGTGTCCTAGTAAATATCCTTAATTCCTAGGCTTACTAATGGGTAATTACACTCTCTCTTTAAGAGCTCGAATTTAGTTTTTAATAAATTCGGAGGGCAGAGAAAGAGTATATAAGGATATCAGACAAATACGTATATGTAATATCTTTAATAATAATAATATCATTTCTTTTAATAATTATAAAAGGCTTTCTTCATTTCTATTGATTTAAAATTGGTTTAGGTATATGTTTAGCATTTGCTTCTAGCATTTTTTGTGTGTTAGTTTTATATAATACCAAATCCCTTAAATAATGTATTTTATATCCTTTCAGCGTAGTTAAAAGCTTAAAAAGTAGGGAAGGAGTCATTTCCGACCCTATAAATCATATATATTCTTAATCAGCATTAATAGTAGAATCTTCCTAGTCACTTTTTAGAGAAAAAATTTTTTTGTCAAATTTTTCAAAATTTTATAAGGGGTTACATCATTAAAATTGTCAAAAATTGAAAAAATTTTAAAAGTTTTAAAAACTTTAATGCAGTATGCAGATTTGTTAACCTATAAAAAAATAACACAGAACAGCTTTCCGAATCGAAATTAAAGCATATTTGGCTTAGTTATGAAGGATTTTATATTCAACCCATGATCCAAATATATCCCTGTTTGGCTTTAAGAATATAACTCCCTTTCCTTCTTTTTAAACATAAATCCTATGTTTACTAATTTAAATCAACTTGGCAATAATATAATTAAAGCTAGTAAGCATATTGCTCCACTTAGTTGTAGAAAATTAAGTATACGCCTAGTGGCGTATATTCTATTCAACCGATGATCCAAATATATCCCAGTTTGGCTTTAAGAATATAGCTCCCTTTTCTTCTTTTTAAACATAATTCCTATGTTTACTAATTTAAATCAACTTATATTATTTTTAAAGCTAGTAAGCATATTGCCTCACTTAGTTGTAGAAAATTACGTATACGCCTAGTGGGACAGCCACCAGACTGAACTAAACCCCTTACTATAAAGGTATTTCAAAGCGGTAAAATTAATTTCCTCTATGCAGGAGACTTCACTGTACAGAGCTTTAACCGTAGCCACTTCTCAATACACCCCACTACCACCCCAGTGTCGTCGCTCGCATAAAAATAAACTTTGCCCCGTCAAGTATGCAATTGTTTTTGCATTGCACCGGGTTGGAGGGATCGAAAGGGAACTCAGGGTTTCCAGTGCCTTCTGCTCTCTCACTCTCTGGTTATAGCCTCGAGCCTCCAATTGAGCGTAAGCCAAAACAATATTCGTGCATACATATTTTATTCTGGATGACAATTATTTGGCCCAAGGGGATAAGACTCCACTGTGTCCATGGTAGTGCTTGTGCCAGTGCCACTGTCAGTGCCTCCTCTGCCACATCTTGGTGGCAATCATCGGCGCAAATTTGTCGCATTTTGTTTTGTTGTCATGTTTATGGCGCAACATTTTCTGGCCATAAATACACGCCGAAAATGCTAATGACCGATTGGGTGGCTGGCCATAGTGGCGGTGATTCTTGGTTGCCACTGCCAGTGCCAGCACATGCCACCAAGACGTAAAGACTTTCTGCCTCCGGGCGGCATTTCAATCGACCAGAAGCGATATTGATAAATGTATTTGGGCCAGATTGGATAAGGAGTCGACACCGAGAAACGGGCACATCATATGTCAAATCAAGTTCCACGGGACTCAGCCTTCTCCTCCGGCAAGTGTGGGCGGGGGAATGGGTCTCTGGGAAAACATATGCCAGCGCCCCATCAGAGTCCCAACACGCGAAGGTCACTGACAAAGCGCCGTTTGAAGTCGCTTACAGTTTTAGTTGATGTTGACGCGATATCAAAGGGGGGGTTGGGTGGCGTTGGTTGGTTGCTCTTTTTTCTTTTTCTATTTGTATCTTTGTGTGTGTGTGCTGGGGTGTAAAAAGAAAGCAGCCACAGCAACAACAACAACAATGGCAGATAACGAAACATTTGACAAGGACAAGGGTGCCCCGTCGCCCCATCAAAACTCCCCTTTCGGCACGAAGCTCCCCAGCGGCAATGGCAGTTGTGTTAGTGTAATTATTAGTGCCGTACAAAATAAATATGTACGTTTGTATATGACACAGACAAACATCCTTTTTTTCGAAGCTTTAGCTGGTGGATCCTTAGCCAAAGAAACTATGGGACTTGACTAGATAGTACTCAGAACTTTATATCGTAGATTTATGGATTTTTAAATTGTTTCAAGAAATATATATTTTCCTTAAAAAGTATGATTGATAAGTTGGAAAATAATTTCTAAATGATATAGCATTTAAAATGTACTGATAGTCAGCGAAAAATCTTTCGTATTCTTTCTTCTAAAAGGATAACTAAACAAATATTTCATTATAAATACCTCTTTTCCTGTAAAACCATCGTTGATTTCTCCTTTGAATCCCATTGTCCTCGGTTGCGCTTTTTTCGTTGCCTACTTTCCAGTTGAATTTATGGACCATTCCGCCTGGTTGTACACTTTTTATGCAAATATACGGCCAAAAGTGCCGCAACAGACAACATTCGCTGACGCTGTCGCTGTTGCTGATGATGTTGTAGTGTGTACTCCAGGGTAAGAGGCGGTGAGAGGAAGGAGCAGGACATGGTTTTGGATTGGACGGGATTGCGTGCTTAGGGCTGGTGTCGGCCGGCTGGCACACTACAAATGTCGCCAGCAATTAATTTCCATAGATAATTGCCTGTCGATAACGACAGTGGCATTAATCAAATGCTGGGCCGGCTGTTGACTAGAGATGGGTTCTCGTTACTGTTTTTGTTCTCTGGGCTAAGATTTAATCAAAAACTATGGCGTAATGACAAAGTGAAAGTTGTATTTCAGTGATTTGTTGTAACGCTCTTAAATCAAATTGAATTGAATTGGCAAAAAGTGTGTGTGTGCGCTTGCTTAAGTTAGCTTAGCTAGATGTGTGTGAGTGTTCGTTCCTCGATAATGCATCGTATATGTATATGCCTATGTACTATATAAACTTTATGAATAAATATACATAGATGTGTGTGCTCAACTTTTGAATAGATTTGACTTTAACCAGCTAAATAATAATACTGATCACAACAAACGCCAATAGTGTGTGAGAGTTCAGTTTGCTTCAACAGTTGCCGGTGAAAATAATGCGTGTTCGTTCGATTGTACAATAATAAATATGGAGTATACGTATAAATATAATATGTATATACTATATAGACTTGGTATTGCTGCCACCTATAACAACAACAACTAACATAAACAGCAAATATCGTTTCGTAATCAAGTAATTGATCTACACAATATGATTTTGGGAACAAATTTGAACAACGCTGGGCGTAAAATAGGCTCTAGTTGTAGGTAATTTGTCAGATTATCTTCCGTATAATATGAGTGCGTTATATATATGTATATATAATCGACGATAATTGCACTATTTATATGTAGGTAAATATTATGGTGTTACACTACACTGGCGGTCGGAATAAGTGAGAGATATATATATAGTATCTAAGCTACGCATCGTGATTATGGGAGATATTGATATACGTAATATTGCCTGGCTTCGCTAATGATTAACTTAACTATTTACATAAAATACCAATTAAATACTGAGTAAACAAAGGGAAGCGTCAATAAACATAACTTAGGTGTCGACAGCGACAGTTTTAAAGCCAAATCATATATAAATGCACTTTGTTCAATTAGTAAACGTGGAGAATACTTGTTCAGGAGGACTATAAACTACGAATTTTGGCCGTATTGCGATATTATATTCTTCTATGGAGATAATGGCAGTTTGGATTCATCTATCTAGCTAATATAGACTATAATATAGTATGTGGATCCTTTTGACCGCCAGCGCGGAAGAGAATTATGAACTAACATGATGATCCGAGGAGAGCGATGCTTATTATTGGAAAAATGCTGCGGTAGAAAAATGCACAAAAAGTCTTCGGTCTCGGGTTTTGGGGGAGTTGGTATCGGTATATCTTCATCAATATCTTCATCATTTTCTCGACAGCATTATGTTCATGACTGTGCCGCTGTTGTGCAGCACTCGCTTGGCATCGTTTAGATTGGCATTGGTCAGGTCGTAGCCATCGATTTCTAGCAGCTTATCGTTGAGGCTCAGTAGGCGGGCGGCGTTCGTATTCGGCGTTATGGAGCTTACAAAGATGCCAACCTGCAATTATAAACCATTATATCCATAGCTATCAGTGTTCTTATAAGACAAGCTCACCTGATTTAGCAGCTCGGCTATGTCGAAGCCTATGCTGTGCTCCCACTTGAGCGTCACCTGCTTGACCGTGGGATTCTTGTGAACGCCAAAGATCCAGGTTGATTTCTTATTGTGACTCGCCTTGGAAGTATTGTTGGTGGCCGTGGAGTTCATTGAGTGCTGCGACAAGGAGTCATCCAGCTCCTCCTCCTGATCTTCGTCCTGCTCCTCCACCGCCGGCTTTGGCTCCACATGGTTGTTGCTGATATTGTTCTGGTAGTCAAGCAGCTCGTCCTCGTCGACGTTCTCTTCGACTTCCTGGGCACCAATTGCGGTCGTTTTGAAGTTACTATTCAGGGCATCTTGGTAGATGGTTTGCTCCTGCAACTGCTGCTGTTGTTGCTGCTGCTTGCGCTGTCGCATAGACTCGTACAGATTCAGATCTTCGGGCGTTTTCTTGGTATATACACGAGCTATGTGGTAGGGCGGCGGCTCTAATCGCGGCGGTGGCGCCGCCGGCTGTTGCTGTTGCAGCGGCTGCAGTTCATAGTCCTGATCCCCGTTTAGATGCGTGGTGGGCAGTGGCGTATTCGCCTCCACATAGAGCTGCTGGTAGTGTGCCTCGTAGTTGACCAATGGCAGGCCGTAATACTCCTGCGTGGGCACTTGATGCCCCAGCGGATGCTGCGGCTGCTGATAGACACCGTAGATGTGTGTTGTATCCGGCGCAATGCCGTATATTGCACTTGCTGTGGCCTGGTCCACAACATCCTGGTTGGCATTGCTGCTATCACAGTGAACTTGGCCGTTGGCCACTACGCGTGCCTCCCTCACCTCGCTGGTGGCATTGGCCGATGAGCTCGCCGCCTGAGCCTGCCTTACGTACTTGGCCATTTGACGCAGTTCCTTAGGATATGGCGTGGGCGAACGCATCAGCCGCACGGCCGAAGATCCCGCCATCTGATCGGGCGTGGGTGTGGGCGGTGCAGCCGCCACGTAGCTGGGATAGCTGGGCGCCGGCTGCGGTTTTGCTGCATTGCTCAATATTGTGGTTTCCTCCGCAAAGCAAATCCTACGCGACGGGCTCACATGCGGCGGCTGCTGCTGGTTGGCATATACGAACTCGTACTGCTCCTGGGCCTGCTGTTGCGCCTGCATGCTGTTCATCTTAAATGTCACCTGCGGCAGCATAAAGCACGTCAACTGGGTCTTTGTGCTCGCATCCAGATACTGCAGGGGCACCAACGGCTGCGACTGGTTATCGCTGAGCCACAGCGACGTGAGATTCACCAGGTTTAGCATGGACACTGGCAAGGCATTTATGTAGTTGTTAACCACATTGAGCACCCTTAGCTTTCCCAGATTTCCAATATTGTGCGGTAGGGCGGACAACTGATTATTGGCCACGCTCAGGACACTTAGCTGCTGGCAGCTGCACAACTCATCCGGCAGCTGGCGCAGTTGATTGTCGTCCGCGAAGAGGAAGCGCAGGCTGCGCAGCATGCCAATCGTACTGGGCAGACGGATCAACTTGTTGTGGCTCAGCACCAGCTCCTCCAGCTGCTCTAGATAGCTAATGCTGTCGGGCAGCTCCGTCAGTCCATTGGACTCACACTTGAAGGTGACCAGCGACTTGAGCATGCCCACACTGAAGGGAAAGGCCTCCAGGCTGTTGGAGCAAATGGAAAGCACCTCAACGTTGCGCCAGTTACTCAGCTCGCTGGGGAGTGTGTCTAGCAGATTTCCATTGGCCTCAAAGTGCTGCAAGTCACGCAGCTTTCCAATGTTTGGCGAAACTCGGCGTATTTGATTAAAATCGATCCATAGCTCGCGCAGGGATTTCAACTCGCCAACAACTTCGGGCTGGAAAGGAAATTAGAGTTTGTAATCTTTATAAGAGCCAGGGATTAAGTCTAAGCATATCCTCACCAGCTCTGTAAACTCATTGCCGCCAATGTCTAGCCGCTGGAGGTTCACTAAGCGCACCATGGACTTGGGCAAGGTAATGAGATTGTTCAGGCGCAACTCCAGAATCCTCAAATTGACCAAGCGACCAAAATTGGCTGGCAAGAACTCGAGGTAGGTCTCGTTCAGCAGTAGCTCCTGAAGGGATATGAGTGAGGTGATGGCATCGGGAAGACGTTGCAGGCTATTACAGCTCAGATCCAGGTGGGTTAAGTGCTTGCACGACTTGATCTCCTCGGGGACATTGACAATCACTGTAAGAAGCACAGATTTATGTGCCTTGTGGGTTTAAATTTCTTGGATAAACTCACAATTCCTGTTGAGATCCAGATGCTGGAGCTGGCGCAGACTGCCGATGGCCTGGGGTATATTCTCCAGATTGTTGCTGTTCACATGAAGCACCCTCAGTCCCTGACAGTAAAATAATTGCGGCGGCAACGCTTGCAGCTGTCGGATGTGAGAGAAGCGATAAGCAAAAGGTAAATAAAGCGCTACATGCGCACTTGGTCAGGTTTACCCACCCGTGTGGTGCTCAAATAGAGCTCCTCCAGCGTCCGCTCGTGCTGCCAGACCTCCGGGAAGTCGGTAAGCGGGGTATTGCTGTAGTCCAGCTTGTCGATCACCTCCTCCCGCTTAAACTTAAAGCACGGGAAGCATTTGCTTAGCAGCGGCATCTTCTTTGGGTTGGGTTTCGGGGTTTATTGCTTTTCTATCGTTAATAATAAGGCACAGGTTTCGCTGCTGCCAACAAGACAAAGCGTTACGTTCATTCGGGTTATTGGGGTCGCATAACCGCCGAGAGACCAGCCTCACCAGTGATTCATCGCCGCCGCAGTCGTCGGAACGCTATTCTTGGTCCTGCATTGCAATTGTCCATTGGCATTTTTGGGCTTGTTATTGTTCTGCCAGCCCCACCAACACTAACACGCGCACGCACACGCACACGGGAGTGAGTGTACACAAAAGAGACTCCGCTGGCCTCTCTATGCGCTTTTCCCGGCATGCAAACTCGAACAATTCACGATTTTACTTTTGTTATTTACACATCATTCTTGGTTAAAGCCAGTGGTGTTTATTTTGGCCATTGAGTTGGCTTTTATTTAATGTTTTTCACTTTGAAAACGACAAGTTGCTTGCAGGTGTTAGTGTTGGTAAATGCCGAACGAAGTAGTGGTGTGCGAATAGTCAGACACGGCGTTTCTATTCCACTATCGATAGGAATAGATATTTTTAAAATTAACCATTTAATATATTTAAAATTTAAATGTATTACAATTAGTAAGAAGTATTTATTTTATAATTTATGTTGGAACTTTATTTAACTACTTGGTATCTTGTAATCTGTTTAAGAGGTTTAATAATAATAATATAATATTTTTTCAATTTAAAATTCATCTTAATTATTTTTTTTTTTTAAATTTATAAATATTTATGTAAGTGACAATCAGTTATGCTACTTAATTTCTATTTAATTTAAAACAACCTTCCAGCTATCCCTTATCGATAACGTTGTTAAACGAATTTCCCAGAATGAAGTGCAGATGTCGCCACATAACCGGCCGTTTTTATTCAAATAAAAGCAAAAGCGGTCGGCGTCAAAAAAAACATGCAACCGGGCTTGCATTTTTCGCTAAAAACGCTTCACCCTTTGCTAATTAATATTTGCTCTCCACTTCCTAGCTGCGATTGCGCTTAGGTAAACTGCCATCTCGCTCCTCTTGTTTAGTTTCCTTTAGTTTCGTGTGGGTTTGTTTGGATTTGCTTGGTTTTATGTGGTCATATTTTGTTGATAACGCCGGGTTGATAATAACTGGACAAAGTTCAAATAGGTTAATGCGAATTCCGACTAAGATACCCAATTAAAGCTTAGCACTGACTTTGAGCCACGAGTGTGTCGTCAGGTTCCGTGTCGTCGTCGTGCGGTGTGAAAACTATTCAAATACTCGCCTTTTTTCGGATTTTGTCGCTTTCCGTTTCGGGGCGTTTTAGGTATTTGTCGTTTTGCCGCGAAGCATTGACGAATTTACACTTCAAACAATTGTTAAACTATACAGCATATTGCAAATAGGAGGTACGTAATAGACAATGTGCTTGTATTTGCAATAGAAGAGTGCGTCCAGAGCCGTGCAACTACGGACAAGAGCTTAGTTTCGGTTTTAGAGTTGAGCGTTGCAGTTGGATCGCTCGGGGATTTAATATTCAAAGTGAGTGCTCATAAAATGTTGCAATCATATCTCCGCGAAATTCGGGTTAAGCCCATACAGAGAGGATGATCTCATAAATAATTATGAATTGCGAAGTGACCATCCTTAATTGTTTGTTGAATCACGGTATCTTAGTGATGTGACAATTAAAGTGCGGTTAAAAGTTCAGTGAAATTTGGGTTAAAGGATAACGAATTTATTTGTTATATATTAGTTATAGTAAAAGAAATATATGTGCATTTCCAGGACCACAAACCCCACATACCCAAAAGTCGAATGTTAAAAAAAACAATTAATTATGTATATGTGAAGTATAGTGAAAGTGTTTAGAGAAGTATGATATTCTTTACAAATTAGCTTCTTATATGTCCGATATAAAATGATGATGATTATCAGTCAAATAATGGTTTCGGCAACAAGTTCAAAGTCTAAATACTTGACTTGCAATTAGGAAAATGTTCAGGAGGTCGGGACACCACTCTTTGTTAAACCCTAATGCTTAAATAAAGTATATGAATTTAAACACAATTAAAACTTGCAACCTTTCACCTCTAACATTATTTAAACTCAGAAAATTTGTTTAAGTTCCCCTTTGAAGTGTCCGTTTCCAAGCACTTTGTAAATTTTACAATGCTTGAATGTCAACCCCTACTTCCAAACGTTTACATTTATAATTAACAAACATCTGCTAGGCTCTCACGAGTAATTATGAACAAATAGGTTGAAGCTAATTGCTGGTAACCAGAAAGCATTTCCATTTATAGGTTCTGACACTTTCCTTGATATTGAGGAGTTATAAGGGATATCTAATGATACAAAATATATCTTTTTGATGAGATTGTAAGTCATTCTGTTAAGTGAGTTGTCCTTCCTCGAAGTTTACCCTACTTCCTAAATATAAATAGTTCTTTGGGAACTGCTAGATCAGAAAACACCTGTCAATAATGACAAGGACTTTACCAATAAAGTGGAATTAAATGAAAGTGAGCAGCTGAGTAAAAAAGTAATCGGGGAGAAAGTGAGCAAATGAACAAGTGTACAACCGAGTGATTGAAATAAGGATAATTCACTCATTGAAATATTCACCCGGTATTTCGTTCACCCCACAGCACGCGCCACACAGAAACAGATAAGAGAACAGAAGAGAGAGAAATCGGAGAAAAAAGGAGAATGCAACCCTCTTTAGTGCGTGCCACCCCCTTTATTATGGCCTCTTTCTGGTGGGCGTCATTCCACCCCCTGAGCGAAACGGGTAGACAGCGGTTAGGATTAGAATCCTTTCATTTTATTGCTTCTTAATTTCATGTGGCAAAACCATCTCGTCTCAAGTCGCCAGGTGAAGGGTTACTTCTTCTTGCCCTTTCCCTTTTTGGAGGACTTGGCTTCCTTGGCGGCTGGTGCCTCCACTGAGGCCTCCACCGTGGATGTGGCAGTGGCAGGATCGGTGGTAGACTTCTGACTGGAAGAATCCACACCTGCTTTCTTGGAGGCCTTGGACGAGTCCTTTTTGGAAGGCATGCTGAAGGGTGGAAGAAACAGATTTTAGAACTTGAATAAGAAATTTAAGTTTAATTTTGCACTGAAATTTTCCACTTTTTTATAGTTCTAAAAATTCAAAAAAGAGAAAATTCTTTCATTTTTTGTTTACCTTAAAAAATTTTGAAAATAACACAAAGAGCCGAAGACGGTGTTGATCGCCTGAAATGTAGATACAATATGAATTTTTGGGAGTGCCTTAGTCTTCCATTTTAATATTGAAAAGCATTTTATTCAAGGCTTACTTGATTTATTATTTAATTTTACAAATTTCAAAACTTAGGTTTTGCTTGCTTTAGTTTTCAGCATTTTAGGTTTCTTCCCCTGTTTTGAATTTTAAATATTTTTGCGAAAAGTTAATGGTTTGCGCCCGCTTTTGGGGGCGGCCTTTGGTTCTCTAAGTATTCTCCTTGTTTTCCGTATTTTCCCCTGATTTTCTCTTATGCTCTCTCTCTCTGTCTCTCTTCACTCACTATCTCTCTCCGGCCGGGGTCCCATTTTTTCCGGTTTTTTTGTGCAGTTGAGGAAACGAAACCAAAGAGCGCGCACCGCGGGCCGCATAAATTTCTAGTGCATTTTGTATTAAGTAATTTTAGTTTCTAGAGCAATAAACTATATTAGCAAACCAGTATTTAATTAGTAGCTAAAACAAATCAATATTCCAAAGGAAAGTCCATAATTAATTCAGCAGGCCACGCATTTCCTGACGCACAAAAAAAAAAGAATAAAGAGCGTAGCACTGATTATCGATTTTGCGCCCATGTGAAAGCGTTCGACAAAAATATAAATAAAAGAGTATCTGTTCCTTCGACGGGCTGTGCAATCCCCTAGCTAAAGTACTCCTATATCCAAAATCCACGACCTAAAGCCGGCAGGTGCAGTAAATACGCGAAATGGCGGCCAAGCGGAATGCGGTGACCACGGAAGCTCCGGAATCGTCGGCGCCGCCCGGCGAGGGAACCCTCCTGGCCCTGGACCCAAGGCTCTCGATGCGCGTGGAAAGCGTCATTCCCAAAAAGCGGTGAGCTTAATTTACCCCAAAAAATACCCCCAAAAATGGCACAAAAATGCGCCCAAAATATTTATATACACTGAGGAAATAAAGCATTTTCAGTACTTTCATTATTTGCATTCGTTTGAATAAGGCAGCCCTCTGAGCTTTATTGAACTTTTTCATTAAACACTTTTAATTAGGAGAGGAAATTGATTTTTAATAGGCACCCAAAACAAACAGCTTAAATTGGCATTGCTTTTAAATTAGTTTTTCAAAGTTGAGAACTTCTGTTACTATGTTGTGTTAATGGTTTTAGAAAAATAATAATAATTGCTTATCTTCCTTATTTTATATATTTACAGTTCTAAGTTTTTCTATGAATATTTGAATTGATAACTTTGCTTAATCTGTATAGTTAGAGTTGTTATTTTTATAAGAAATTTATTTTATAAATAGGAAATACAAAGTGTTTGTTAGAAACGACTTATATCCAGTAAATTAATATATAAATTCTTTAGAGTTTCTTTCCAAGTCCTTGTTCTATATTTCTAAATCTGCATTTAGCCTTTGTTTTGAACTCCCTTTGCATGCAAATAAATACATTTTCAATTGGCCTTCACCTATGTTTCTTTATCTTTAACTATTCAGGTATTTCTCTTTGAAACTAACTAATGCTAATTGTATTTTTTGTTCACGGCACAGCCATGAGGCCCTGAAGTGGTTTGGATGGGGCTACAACGACTCCCAGTTTTTCGCAAAGGATGGCGTCATCTGTTTTCGCGGCGACAAGTAAGTGACTATCCATGGGAATTGCTTCATAAACTATAGCTTATACCGTATTCCAATCTCCTATAGATATCCCCTGGCTCGCTCCGAGCTGACCGGCTTTACCCAGTGGGTGAAAAACAAGTTCCAGCTGACGGTGGACTCTGCCAAACCGTATCCCCAAATGCCACATTCCTATCCCCGGCCGGTAGAGAATGCTCCCTTCCTGCGCGAACTGAAGGACACGACCAAGGCGGATCACTCGCTGGAGGGGATCGATCGGTTGGTGCGATGCCATGGTCAAACCCTCAATGATATATACAGTCTGTGGCATAACAAGTTCCGGCGGATTCCCGATCTGGTGGTGTGGCCCCGCTGCCACGACGAGGTGGTCCAGCTGGTGCGGCTTGCCCACAAGCACAACGTGATGCTGGTGCCCTTTGGTGGTGGAACGAGTGTTTCTGGGGCTGTGACCTGTCCCCAGAATGAGTCCCGAATGATCTGTGCCCTGGACACCTCCCAAATGAATCGCCTGCTTTGGCTGAATAGGGAGAACCTCACCGTGTGCTTTGAGTCTGGAATTGTGGGCCAGGATCTTGAGAGGGTCCTGAAAGAACAGGGCTTGACAGTGGGCCACGAACCGGATTCGTATGAGTTCAGCACTCTAGGAGGCTGGGTGGCCACCCGTGCCTCGGGCATGAAGAAGAATGTCTACGGAAATATCGAGGATCTCGTGGTGCGCGTCCGGATGGTCACACCCACAGGCACGCTGGAGCGCGAGTGCAGTGCGCCGCGTGTGAGCTGCGGGCCGGATTTCAACCATGTTATCATGGGATCCGAGGGCACGCTGGGTGTCATCACGGAGGTGGTGCTGAAGGTACGTCCCCTGCCAAAGGTGCGGCGTTATGGATCACTGGCCTTTCCCAACTTCGAGGACGGTGTGCTCTTCATGCGCGAGGTGGCCCGTCGGAGATGCCAGCCCGCCTCCGTCCGGCTGATGGACAACGAGCAGTTCATGTTCGGGCAGGCTCTCAAGCCGGAGAAGAGCTGGTGGGAGAGCGTCAAGGATGGACTGAAGCAGCGCTATGTTACCTCTTGGAAGGGCATCGATCTCACCCAGATCTGTGCCGCCACTTTGCTCTTTGAAGGAGATCTGAAAGATGTGCAGCGCCAGGAGGCGCTCATCTATGAGATAGCATCTCAGTTTAATGGATTTCCGGCGGGAGCCCAGAACGGTGAACGTGGCTATATACTGACCTTTGTGATTGCCTACATTAGGGTGAGCTTCAGCTGAGATCTTATGTATAGGAACTTAAATTAATTACTTTTAATTTATGTATTTCTCGCAGGACTTTGGCCTGAATCAGGGCATTGTGGCCGAGTCCTTTGAGACCTCTGTGCCCTGGGATCGCTGCAGTTTGCTGTGCCGCTCTGTGAAGCAACGTTTGGCCACGGTAAGTAACTGGAAGTACTTTGTAGATCTCTCACTAACATCCTTTTCTTGGATCCTTAATCAGGAATGCCATAAACACGGCATAGCCATGTTCATGTCCTCGTGCCGTGTGACCCAAACCTATGACTCTGGCGCCTGCATCTACTTCTACTTTGGTTTCCGCTGCGTGGGCGTGCCCAATCCCGTGGAAATATTCGAGGCCATTGAGCATAGTGCCCGCGATGAGATCCTTTCCTGCGGCGGATCCCTGTCCCATCATCATGGTGTGGGCAAAATCCGTACCCATTGGTACCGTGACGCTGTGACCGAAACGGGCAGTTCCCTGTTTTCGGCCGCTAAGCGGCATCTCGATCCTAAAAACATCTTTGCCCTGGGGAACCTGTTGCCCCAGGTGGAGGAAGGGGATCATAAGAAGATTGAAGCCCTGGCAGCTTCATCATCCACACCACCGAAGGCCAAACTATAGAGGATAGTGTTCACCTTAGTCCATGTCCTAGTCTTAGTCTCTAAACTAATTTCCTAGTCGCTCTTGGGGGGCTCTTTCTATCCCAATTTGTTCGGGTATTCAGTGCGTTTGTAGCGGGCTCATGTTTTCTATGGGTTTTTTGATAAATAAATGGAATATTTCTAAGTTTTTTCTTAGCACTGCCTTCTGGGAAATAGTGTATAAATAATAGCTCTTAATTTTTTGCTGTGTACCCCTGACCATAGACACACAACTGATTTGTGTGTGCGTGTTCTGGCGAACTGCCGATCATTGTCTTCTCATCTGCTCATCGAAGTCATTTGCGGCTTGATGGCGCACCATCCTGGCCAGGCCAAGAGCCAACGTCGAAGATTGGAGCGCCCAGAGCCAGGAGATCAAATGTCATCAAGTTGTCAACTTCGTTAGCATGCCACAAGGCAGCGATCGGAGCTGGGCTTTAAGATCTTTCTTGGCCTGGCTGACTGGCTCTATACACTGTGGGAGTTTTGTTATTTAATTAATTTAAAAGAAAGAAAGGAAACTATCTTCGGAAAGATATTTGACCACAGAAAATAGGTCATAACTAAGCCAAAAATGTGTTAATTTCAATTCGGAAGTCGCGTTTATGCTAGTTTTTACCAGGCAAATAAAACTGCATACTTAATTTACCATTTAAAGAGATTTAATTTTTTTCGCATTTTTTTAAATTTTAACGATGTAACCCCTTATAAAATTTTCAAATTTTTGAAAAAATTAGATTTCGACCAGGCATTGCTAAATCGATTCGATTTTTTATGCTAATCAAGAATATATATGATTTATAGGGTCGGAAATGACTCCTTCACTGCGTTTGGAGCTTCTGACTAAAATTATAATACCTAGCAAGGAGCAACAATTTAAGAAAATCGATCAAGTTCGATATGATTTGCGAATATTTTAATTTATATTAGGACAACAATTCTCATTTCAATTCTTTAATTAAGTCTTAACTATAATATCAATTTTGAAGTTATTTTGAAGTACATTTATGTAGCCAAAAAACCATTTTTAAAACCTTTCGCTATCAAATTTGATATTACAAAAATTCTTACAAAATTATAAAAAAATTTGTATTTAACATTATATAAATCCTAATTAATTGCACATTTCACGTGCATATTTTTTCGCACCGTGTTACCAAAAAAGGTGGAATGAGCGCCTTATTGATGGCCAAGGAGAAGTCGTCGACTTGGCCTGTCTTGTTACCCTGGCAATGGATACGGATACTGCACGTATGCTATATAGCACACTATATATGAGTGTGTGTGTGTATACCCCCCAGTACTCACACACACACTGTCAGCCTATAAATAAAGATTAAAATCAGCAAAAAATACAACAAAAATATAAGTAAGCAGAAGAGGTCCGTCTAAGTCCCGTCCTGCTGGAAATTGTCAGCAATTAACCCGCGGGTCACTCCCGGAAAACGCTTGCAGTCCTGCGTTCATCCCAGACTCCAGATTCCAGACTCTGTGATTTATGCCACCAAGTATAAGGCCTAAAACCCACAATCAAGGCCAACGGGGAGGGGTTCGAAGGAGGAAGAAGACTGAGCGGAATCCTGACACGTTCGCCAGGCGGAAAAACAAAGACAAAATGCTCTTCTACCTGAGGGAGATGGACATAACTCATTTGCATTGAATGAAATGGAATGAAGGTGAGCCCAGGGGGAGAGTTAGGAACTCAAGATTATGAGGAATATACTATATAAGGAAGGAGAACAAATATCTTTAAGGGCTCTATAACAAAGGGATTTTTTATATGTTTAAAGATCAAGCGATTTGGTAGAGTAGAGCAAGATCTAAAAACAAAGATTATGTTTTAAGGAAGGCTTCCTTTCTAAAACAAAGAATCATAAGGCAGTTCTATTTTTATTCCATTTATTTTATAAATAATATTAAAATTGTATATTCTAGGTTTTCAAATTTGTTCCCTTAAATAAAAACCAGGCAGCATTGCAACTAACAAGCCATGTTTCAGCAACATGGCCAGCAAGCCAGCTGGTTGGCTACACAAACAGCACTGCCTGTGCTGAGTTTAAGCCATTTAACCCATTAAAGCCTACTATGCCGTCGTCGGTATTTTTACCTGGGCTTCGTTACCGAGCGAATTGGCACCTGGCATTCAGTTGCGAGCAGCCCGGCGAGCGAACAACAACTCGGTGCGACGCGATTTGAATTTATTTGTGTGTTGCTCCAAATGCAGAGAGTTTGCTAGAACCCAGAGAATCTCTCAGGGAAATACTCAGAGATCTCTAGAGCGAGAAGAAGAGAGAGAGAGAGATATATATAGAGAGCAAGATCTGTCCGGGAATATATATTTTCCTGGCAGCTGCACAAAACTCCACCGTTGCAGTTGCAGTTCGCATGCGACGCTTGCAACAACGCGACGCGCAATTCGAGTTTGTTTTTCGTTTCGATTTGGATTTTCTCGGGTTTCCACTACGTGTTTTATGTGTGTGTCTTGTTTTTCTCTGTGGGAAAATGCGACAAATTATCCGGCTTCGTTCATTAAAAATACAACGTTTTGTTGCTGGTAATTGAGCGGCAGCGGTAGTTGCTTTTGTTTTGCCTTTAAAAGAGTGAAACAGGTGCGTGAACCAAAACCGAATCAATCGAGTTGTTGCACAAAAAAACGAAACAGAAAAATACAAAACCTAAAAAACAACCACCAAAAAGAGCTGCAAGCATAACTTAACTTGTATAAAAATCATTAAAAGTGCATTAGTTAAGCCAGGCTTTCCCAGAAAACTCATCTCGCAGTCGCTGTAGTTCTAAGGCCTTTCATCAGTCAATCCAGCAGTCAGTCAGTCAGTCACTACGTCAGTTTGTCAGTCTTAATGCACCTGCAATGACTCGTTAAAAACTATATAGCCTATAGCACTGAGATGCCCCCTAATGCCTTCCGGACCTCGCAAGCATTAAAGAGAAACAATTTCGCACTAAAAACCAACCCACGTCGGGTGGCCAAAGTGCTTTATAAGACCAACAGCCCATAAAGTGATCTCAAAAAAAAGTCAGCAAATGCGGAATGTATGATAATAATAAAAAATATATACATATACATATGTATATCTGGCAAAAGGCATACGGTTTTTGGTCAGTTTGAAGTTTGGCTGCAACGCCAACGCAAAATTCTCGGCACTGCGATATTTGGTTTATGAGTTCTGTCATTTCGAGTGTGTCTGAGTGGGTGGCTTGCTTGGATATAACCTGGGGTTTTATGCTAGTTCTAACCTTGGAATGCCATGATTAAGAATTTTTTATTTTGGCACTCTTTGTGTGTTTTATGGAGCAGTTTTAAGAACTAGAGTTCGGGTTTAGTTATGTAAATTTTAGGTTCTCTTAGAATTTTTTGCTATAAATAATTTATATTAGTAATAACCCTTTAAAACCCTCACTTTACTGACATATCATTGATTTTATTTTTACTGTTTTCTGAGTTTTCAAAATTCCAAGAATGCTCTCATCCGTGTGTCAGCAAATCCACAGCCATAATTCATCATACAAAGTATACCCCCCTTTGCTGTTGTCGTTCTTTCCATTTTGCATAAATGTCCAAGTCATGTCCCGGGGTTCGTAAAACGTGCCTTTAATTCATCTAATAGATATTTGAACTGCCCATCACAAAGGGGCTGACGTGGAACAAATGTTGGCCATTAGACTGCATGCTCAGCATAAATGAAGCATTGAGCCATAAAGGCAGCAACAATAATCGTTGTTTTAACCCTTTCAGCTTGGCCAAAAGGAAAAAAATGCTGCCAAGGCGCACTTAATTAACATGCAACTGGCAATGTTCGCGTAAACAAAAATGAAAACAACAACGACGACAACAGCCACGACAAGTTAACAACTACAACAACAAAACACGTTAAAAAGTGCAATCCAAAATTATAAAAAAAAAATAAGTAACGAGGAAAACGTGAAAAACAAAGCAAGAAAAGGTCTCGTTTCTTGGCCAGAAGGTGACGACGAGCGGTCTAAGTTTCGCCAATCAGTCAGTTAATGATGCTGCCACCGGGGGCTGCAACTGCGGATTCGCCCCGCAGCTGCTAATTAAACTGCATCAACGACGACCCACAGCAATTACTGCAGCAACAATAACATCAACAATAGCATCTCAGCAATTTGGTATCATTGGAAAATAAACCATAATGTAAGTATACTCTGGAAATCATGATCAACGATTAAAGTTCAATAATGTCAATTAGAGCTACATTAAGTAGAGTTTCTTATTTTTTATTATAGTTTATTAATAACAAAGCATTTTAAACTAAAATGTTATACTTATTTTTATACCCTTGCAGAGTATCATAATTTAAGTTAGAATTTGTCAAACGCGACCGACATAAACCATACATATTCTTGATCAGCATGATCAGCCGAATCGATCTAGCTATGTCTGGGCAAAATCTATTTTTTTCAAAATATTGAAATTTTATAAGGGGTTACATCGTTAAAATTGTCAAAAATTGACAAAAAATTTAATCTCTTTAAATGTTAAATAAAGTATGCAGTATTATTTATTTGCCTAATAAAAGCTAGCATAGCAAAGCTTTCCGAATTGAATTTAAGGCATTTTTGGCTAAGTTATGATTGATTTAGGATTCAGTTCTTGATCTAATTTCAAGCTGCAAGGGTATACGGAATTGCCTGCCTTTCTTGTCAAATATAAACCCAACCTAAGCTGATAACTAAAACTATTAAAATATATATATCTTACCTAAATACAAATATACCTGAGAGGGTTCACTATCTCAGAATCGCTGCGTGCAATGACTGCCATTTGGCTTTCTTTCCTTTACTTTTCTGCTGCTAAAGTTAAAGTTGCAGTGACAGTAGCAGAAACAGCAGCAGCAGCAGCCACCCCATCGACTTTCTAAGCCAGTTGCCAATTTAGTGCATTTGGTGCTGATTTGGCCAGAGTGCCGGGAAACGGGAAAAAGTGGCCAAAACTGGCGGTTGGTTGTCGCCAATTGTTTGCCGGCTCTCCTTATTGCCATTGGGAAGATCTCAGACCGCAGCCCGAAGTCGGGGGTACCGAAGATTGTGCAGATTGCAGATTGCAGATTGCAGACTCCAGACGCAGTTGAAGGAAGACTGGGTCGCGTGTTTGACACAAATGCCGCGAATAGTTTTGAAGGCGGTTTGGCCCCACTGCGATTTATGGTCAAGACCAGCGTTGCGACTTGTGCAAGCAAGAGTTGTGGCTGTGTGTTTGCGTTTGTTTTTCCTACCATGTTTTATCTTCTTCTTCGTTGGCTTCCTGTGACCGCGCTGATTGCGTTTTAATAAGCCAGGCCAAGATACCTTTCAGCCATTTGGTTGCATGTTAACTTTAAGTAGCAGGAAAACCAATAATCAGCCAAAGACAACCACAGCCAACACGCAAACGCTCAGAAGTTGGCCAGTTTGCTAACTTGGCTCTTGTGCCAATCCGGCCAGGCAATGGGTCAGCATGGGTTAAAGTTGCCCAGCTATGATGGCCTCCGGGCTAATGTCGGCGGTATCTACTAAGTGAAATCTCGCCTTCGATTGTGCTTTGCCTTTCAATGAGCTCAATACTCAATGCCAGGCAATTGAAAGAATGCTGCTGATCTTATGAATATAAAATATGCATTAGCAGGGCAACGCCAGGATTGATATAGATTATAGAATTTATATATAGAAATCTTAACCACTGAAAAGTTGAACCGTTACCAAAACAACTCCCTCGTGGACTCCAGTTTACAAAATTTAAACAAAAACTCTTGCGCCACCGGGGCGTATGCGTGATATGTGTCTCGCTAGAAATTTAGCCCCGTAAAGGTTTATTTAAAAAGTGAGAAAAATGAAAAGACTGCTCAGATTGACATCAATTGTGAAGAATGAGACGCAAACGCTCGCCAAAGTTAAGGTCGGAGCTATGTCCGCGGTTCCAGTTCATTGCCAGTTCCATCACTTTGACATAGGCACGAAGGACGACCGAAGTCATGTTGGCCATAACCAGGATCTTAAAGAGCAGGGCGAAGATTAGTTTGGCGTAGAGGTTCATGCTGGTGTGGCTCAGTTCCCGCGTGAACATGTGGCGTGCCAACAAAAAGGTGCTGAAGATCCAGCATCCCCCGATGGCCCCAATGTATGGAGCACAGAACCACAGGTTCTGCAGGCGCGGCTTGCGTCCGATCCGGCCAAGAGTGCCGGACCCCACAAGCCTGCAGCCGCAGGTCCTGTAAACGCCCCCCAGCACTGCAGCTATCATGACCACGGTCCATACTTCTCCGAACGTATCCACAGAGAGCGGGTCGAAGAAGAACAACTTGTCCGGCTTACGCAAATTCCACAAAAATCCCTCATTCCAGCTTTCATTGACAACGAACAGAGTGCCGGCCGCGTGCATCATTACCCAGAGGTATAGACTGGTCCACCAGCAACGTAGCAGCGACATTATAGCCCGGGAATATCCAGAGTTCACATACTGTTCAACCATTTTTAGTTGAGAATTGTTTTTACCAAAATGTGTACTGAATTTATATGACAAGTCACGAGTCAGTGTAACTGAAATAAAAGTTGACACAGCAATAGATTTTGACAGTTTTATCATGGATATACATACAATATATATTTATAATTTTCACAAAATACTTTTCATCGATAAATCCACTTTCAAATTTGGTATAAAAGAGTATACCAACTTCGGCCAACTTCCTTTTTTGTTTTTCTTTGTTATATAAAATAATAATTATTACAAAATGTCAAGTACCTTTGCCTCAGTCTGTGAAAAATGTCAAAATGATTTTAATAGACATAAAACCCTAACGATAACTCGTTTATATCGATTATATAGCTCTCTCAATGGTCCATTCATGTTTTTTGATGGATTATGGTTTCTAATAAAAAACCTTTTTATTTACCTTTATCAAGTTTGCATAATAACAAATTCCATTTAAAGTCATCCATCGATCTTTGGAACAATGGGAAAACCTTTATTGTTTATTGGCGGTTAGAGTTTCCATTTTTCTGAAGGCGGCTTTCCGCCTTTGATGGCCAAAAGATCTATGGAATTGGCTTCGACTTGGGGCAATCGCATTGGCTATTTGGCAATTTGTCGCTGAAATACGGCAAGTGTTTGGCTTAGATGCCAGGCATAACTAGCTGAGAGTAAGCTGATGCAGCCTGTTGGCCAAGATCGATTCGTTGCGGCTCGTAATAGGCTTAACGCTTAAAACGATTGGGAAATGCATTCAACTTCGAATGCCATTCATGAGCCATTGGCCACGCCCCGTTGACCCTCAGACCATATGAACTTGGCTAATCAAATAAACAAATAAACAACATAAAGACACTATGGCTAGCCAGCTAGCTAGCCAGTAAGCCGCCAATAAATGTCTGACAGTGCAAAAAGGCCATAATAATAAACTTAAATAGACAGACGAAAAAAGCCTCCGACTTAATGCTTACAAATTTGAGCGTTAGCTTCGAGTTGCAGCGAAAAACAACAAGAACCATCGCCGGGACGAGGGCAATAACAAGTTTTTTTATGCGCTCCGCTGTGTTGTGTCTAAGCTTTGTTTTAGCGGCACTCATTAGCCAAGTTATGAACACAGCCGCCGCTGAGCGCTGCGGCGAAACAAAAAACAGTAGCAGCAAAAACAAATAAACAACAGTTTCGCAGTAAAAAAAACCAAGCAGAATATGGTTAAAACGTTTAGGCCAATGCAGGAACACTGATTCGCAACAGTTTGTGGCTAACTTCAACTTTAATAGTTAACAATAATAGAATCTAACTTTGGGGTCCCCGAAGTTCGTATACCGAATTTTTTTAATCGATATTTATCAATATTTTTGTATGACCATTTTTTCCACAAATCAATATTTAAAAATAATATAACTGAGCCAAAAATGCATTAATTTCAATTCGGAAAGCGTTCACATGCTAATTTTTATAAGGTTAATGAAACTGCATACTCAGTTTAACATTTTACAAAATTCAATTTTTTGCCAATTTTTGACAATTTTAATGATGTAACCCCTTATAAAAAAATTTGAAATTTTCGAAAAATGTGAAAAAATTAGATTTTGATCGGACATGGCTAGATCGATTCAGCTTTTAATGCTGATCAAGAATATATATGGTTTATAGGGTCGGAAATGACTCCTTCACTGATTTGCAAGCTTATAACTAACTTATAATACCCTGCAAGTGTATAAAAATATCTCTTTAAATATCAGACAATATAAAAACGTAATGCATTTACAAATTGTTTGCTTTAAATATGCATCTTGGTTTAAGTTTCGAATTACCATATCGAGGTATTTACATTAAGGAGGATTTTAAATGATATGAGGAGAATTCATTTATAATATATACTCCTAGTTTTTATCTACCTTTCTGGTAATTTTAAATCTCTAAAAATTTTCATGTCTTCCCTTGACGAACATTAAATAAAACTATAAAAAATGTATCTTCTTAAAGTGTAGTGCAGTAAATAAACTGTTGGCACCCTCTGTCTATTAGAAATTCGATGCGTTTTTTCCTAAGCATTTATTTGTAAAGTATTTACAGGTATAAACGCCTCGTTCCCATGGCCCACCCAATCCAAAACGAATCGAAATCGAGCGTTTCTAATACACACACGTTTGTAGTAATTAATTAAATGAAATCTGAGCCGGCTTTAGCTCAACCAAAAAGCGTTGTTTGTGGGTTTCTAATGCCTCTACCCAAACCCCCCTTCAAGCAATTGCTACACTACAAAGTTGCTACGAGGGAGTCGTGTCACAAGCAAAAAAAAAGAAAAAATTGGTTTCTCTTTATATATTTTTTTGTTACTCATTTTTGTGGCATTGTTTGAGCGATTTGTTTGAATTTTGCCGCACGGGGAAGATGCCTCGCCAGCTTTTTGGGTATTTCTTTTCAAAAAGCGTCTTTTTCTCTGCCTCTCCTGAGCTGTGTGTGTGGCTTGGCCTTTTATCCCAGTCACGCTGCAAAGTTATTTGCGCCGTCGCGTCGTGCAGGGACCAAGTTCTCTTCTCTGTTATTATGCCAGCCGGTTTCATCGTCATAAAGCTGGAACAAAAAACAAAAAACTAAAAAAAAAAAAATCAAGAAAAAGCTTAAAAGTAGAGATAAAAAAACGTCTTGGGTCTGCAGTTTTCGTTTGGTGGTTATCCGAGCCCTCTCTCACAGTCTTTTGATTTATGCAGTTGACGTCGTAAACTGTTGCAGTTTCTGTATTTTGATATCGCTAGGGTATTGGGGAGATTATTTTATTATTTTAGGTTTTTTTAGGGATTTCAGAAATAATTTTTTAAGCCATTAAGAAGGCTATACAATATTTACTTGACTGAGAGTAAAAAATATAACCAATTAAAATATATATGATTCTAAAAACAAGAAAGGAAGTTAATTTCGGCACGCTGAAGTTTATATACCCTTGCAGATAGAACTTCTATGACTAGGAAACCCTACAATATAATTTATATATATTTATGATTAAAAACAATGAAGTAACTCCTGTTTTCATTTCATTCACCTAAACATATTATATTTGCAGTTCACAGATTTGCATTTTTCCTCTACATCAAACGATCGTTTGTATGGCACCTATATGATACAGTCGTCCGATTTTCATGAAATTTTACACAAAATTTAAGACTAATATAAAATGGCTATACCTCAAACTTGATGAAAATCTGTTGAAAACTGAAAATGTTATAATTTTTTTTGTAAAAATTTTCCGGTGATTCCAATGGCAGCTATATGATATAGTCGTGCGTTCCGACATATATACGAGTGAGAGTACATAGAAGGCTAACTACAAAGTTTCATTCAGATAGCTGCAAAACTGAGAGACTAGTTTGTGTAGAAACGGACAGATGGACAGACGGATAGACGGACAGACGGACATGGCTAGATCGACTCGGCTGTTGATCCTGATCAAGAATATATATACTTTATATAGTCCGAGGTGCCTCCTTCACTGCGTTGCAAACTTCTGCCTGAAATTATAATACCCTGCAAGGGTATAAAAAAAGAAAAGGAAACAAACAAGGAAAAAAATCCTAAATAGGCTTATATTAGCAAGCTTAAAATCCTTATTTTTTGAGCGGGTTTTTGTGTGAAGAACTACTTTTGCAAAAATTATATACAAGCATTGCTTGAAATATGTTAACTTTCTGTTTTTTAAAAGCATACCAATTCTTAAAATTTCCTTTACAAATATAGATCAACTAATTTTAATATATATTTTATATTGAGCAGTTTTGATCATCACCATTGTTGTGTTCTTTGTTTAGTAAGTTGTGCTGAATAAACTATTTTCGGGAGTTAAGTATACTTTACTATAAACAAATAAATGACACCATATCCCCGCTCGTCATGATCATCACGGCTCTTAAAGAGAGCTTGGAAGACTTTTCGAGATCAATAATAAGCAAGTCAGCACGGCCAAGGGTATATTTTTATATATATTTTCATGTATCTTGACTTTTGTGGACCTTGTTTTGGTTTCAATTATCAAGAGATATTTTATTAACGTCTTACCTTAATTAAGAAAACTATAATTTTTATAGTTGCCACATCCATTTGATCAAAGTCTATCAACCACCAAGCACTAGATTGGTAATTTATATAAAAAACACACAAAAAGAAGAAGAAGAAAACTAAACTTTCTCTAGCTAGGGCCTTGTTTAAGTATAAGACTTGAGAATCGCAGAGGAGAGCGCTCTATGTACCAAATAGTTAAACAAAGCCTATCTTTCAGTCGAAAGCTTGAAACTTAGTGAAGGAGTGATTTCCGATCCTATTATTCATATATATTCTTGATCAGCATCAACAGCCGACTCGATCTAGCCATGGTTGCCACATCCACTTGATCAAAGTCTATTAACCACCAAGCACTAAATTAGTAATTTATATAAAAGAAGAAGAAGAAAACTAAACTTCCTCTAACTAGAGCCTTGCTTAAGTGTAAGACTTGAGAATCGCGGAGGAGAGCGCTCTATGCACCAAATAGTTAAACACAGCCTATCTTTTAGTCGAAAGCTTGAAACTTAGTGAAGGAGTCATTTCCGATCCTATTATTCATATATATTCTTGATCAGCATCAACAGCCGACTCGATCTAGCCATGGTTGCCACATCCACTTGATCAAAGTCTATTAACCACCAAGCACTAAATTAGTAATTTATATAAAAGAAGAAGAAGAAAACTAAACTTCCTCTAGCTAGAGCCTTGCTTAAGTGTAAGACTTGAGAATCGCAGAGGAGAGCGCTCTATGCACCAAATAGTTAAACAAAGCCTATCTTTTAGTCGAAAGCTTGAAACTTAGTAAAGGAGTCATTTCCGATTCTATTATTCATATATATTCTTGATCAGCATCAACAGCCGACTCGATCTAGCCATGGTTGCCACATCCACTTGATCAAAGTCTATTAACCACCAAGCACTAAATTGTAATTTATATAAAAGAAGAAGAAGAAAACTAAACTTCCTCTAGCTAGAGCCTTGCTTAAGTGTAAGACTTGAGAATCGCAGAGGAGAGCGCTCTATGCACCAAATAGTTAAACAAAGCCTATCTTTTAGTCGAAAGCTTGAAACT